TTGGAATATTTTTTATACTAACCTACACAAGAAACAGACGAGGAGTCGAGTTCGTAGCCATGCTTACATCGACATTTATGTCCACCGCGTGTATTGATGCAGTCCTGGAGCTGATCACAAGTGTGGGTACCATCGCGACACTCGTCGATATCTGCGAAAAATAACGTTGGAATATTTATTTCAAATTCCTACAGAGTGTCGCTAGGGTGGCTACTTAGTAAATGGTGAAGTGGTAGCAACTTCTCCAAGTCCGCCGTCCCCTGGCCTATATAGGGAGAAGAAGGAGCGCAATTTCTGCTTTCTTTTTACACCTAGTGTGTTTGGAGGCGGCGAGGTAATCCCTGCTGGACCAGAACCAGACCGGAGCATATGGCGCTTAGCGTTCTGCGCGGGCCTCAAAGAGCCATCAGACCACCACAGATGGGGCCCAGTAGCGCTGCTGCTCGATACAGAGCTGCAAAGGGCTTAACGGGTTGCCGGAGCTCTGGCTTGAAAAGCAGAAGTAAGAGTGTAGTAGTTTATAGTCAGTAAGACCCAGCAGTGGACACTCCCTATCGCCTCACCTCAGGCGGGAGAAGTCGTTGGATGATATTTCCACCTCAAAAAAATGCGCTCAGATAGAGAAGTACTGTGATCTTTCTTCCCCTATCTATATTTTTAAAGATAGACATCACTGCATCTAACGCCCACGACTCTGGACTGCCGATCTCATTCTACTAGACAGCAGTCAGCGACTAGTCGTCTCCAATCTTTGGTAACAGGGGACGTCGTAATAATAGCTTTAAGGCAAGTTGAAAGTGCGAAGAAAAATTAATAAATTCATTAAGGAAGTATAGAAACCTTAGCCGATTGTGTATCAGCCGAGCCAAGGTCGGCCTTCATTTCGAATAAATTATTCTGCTATTTTTTAAATCTACTTGTAATGTACCGGGGTTGTGGAGAACCAAAGTCAAAGTCAAAGCATTTATTTCAATTAAACCATAGTTTGGTGCTTTTGAAACGTCAACAAATACAAAATAAATAATAGTCTGTCAGTCAGTCCGTCAGTGAAACTAGGTGAAGCTAGGTGCTCATTCCAAAAAGAAAATTCGAATGGAGAAGAACGAGCAAGAAACTCCATTCGTTACTCTTTTTAAAAAAGTATGTTCTACAATGTCTCTGATACATATTTCAATACTGTACGCATATGTAAGAACAATGCAAAGACACGCTTGACGCATTATACTAATAACTTACAAAAATTTAAAAAAAAATATATAAAAAATAAAAATTAACTTAAAGTCCAACATGGTGCTCACACATGCATACTGACAATCCATAGAATTAGTGCTTCTATACAAGAAAAGGAAACTCTTTGTTTCAATAAAGAAATGCTCGATGCCATAAGGAAACTAGATTGTCTGCATTAGAATTAAAGTGTTAAATTATGTATTAAAATACCTACTATTGGAATTTAGCTACTGACTACATTTGAGTATTGTCCAGTGGAGCCGAACCAACATGCTGCCAAGCATTCTTATCTTCAAGATAATCTGTCAGCGTGTAGTAGGCTTGATTACATAATTCGCGCTTAATATATGTTTTAAATTTACTTTCACTGAGATCTAGTATGCTATTTGGTATTTTATTATAGCATTTAATACCTAACCCCATAAAGGATTTCTGTACTTTGGACAGTCTGAATTGCGGTATAGCTAACTTATTTTTGCCTCTAGTATTAAAATTGTGTCTATCGCTTCTTTTTTCAAACAATTGCCTATTTTTTCTTACATACATTATATTTTCATATATATATTGACAGGGCACCGTTAAAATATTTATCGTTTTAAACAATTCTCTCAGCGATTCGCAACGGCGTAAGTTATATATTGCTCGGATAGCCCGCTTTTGTAGAATAAATATTGATTCTATTTCTGCAGCTCGACCCCACAACAAAATGCCGTACGACATAATGCTGTGGAAATAACTAAAATAGACAAGCCTAGCTGTATCTACGTCCGTGAGCTGTCTAATCTGTCTAACTGCAAAAGCAGCTGAGCTCAATCTCCCCGAAAGCGCCTTTATATGCGGACCCCATTGTAGCCTATTGTCTAACGTAATGCCTAAAAATAGTGTCTCGTCGACAAATTCTAACTTTTGACCGTTCAAAACAATATCACTATCGTTACTACGCACGTTTGGTAAACTGAATTTAATACATTTTGTTTTTTTCTCATTAAGTGCTAGATTATTAATGGTGAACCAATTATGCACTTGAAGAATGGAGCTGTTTACGTCGTCAAGATTATTTGTACGTCGATCTATTTTAAAAATTAATGATGTATCATCTGCAAAAAGCACCATTCGTGGTTCATTTTTAAATATAAATGGCAAATCATTTATATAGACTAAAAAGAGAAAGGGACCCAATATTGAACCTTGAGGAACGCCCATATTCATCCCAGAGCCCTGCGAGTTAATACCGTTAACATGAACCTTTAACTGTCTCTCTTCTAAATAAGATCTCATAAGACGGAGCGCAGAGTTTCTTATCCCGTAGTGATCTAATTTCAGCAAAAGTGTCTCGTGGTCAACGCAATCAAATGCTTTTGAGAGGTCACAAAAGACACCAATAGCATCCTGTGCTTCCTCCCAAGCACCAAATATTTCCTTAATCAAAGTGACACCGGCGTCAGTTGTACAACGACCTTTAGTGAAACCGTATTGTTGTTGGTGAAAGATGGAATGTTTATTAAAATGATGAAGCATCCGAGACAGCATCAACTTTTCAAAGACTTTGCTGAGAACCGGCAAAACAGACACTGGCCTATAGTTGTTAGGTTCTTTAGTGTCACCACTTTTAAATAGTGGGATAACCTTACTATATTTCATTAGGTCAGGGAAAACACCGTCATCTATACATTTATTGAAAATCACAGCCAGATATGGCGCTACAGTTTGGATAAGTGACTTGCAAACTATTACCGATAAGCCCCAAAGATCCTCCGTAGATTTGGTCTTGATTTCTTTAAAAACTTTTATAATTTCTAGAGGATTCGTATATCGAAAACTAAAGTCGTATTGACATGATTCTATGTTGTTCTTAAGCAAAGTTACAGATAGGTTTGCTGATGACTTTAAATGTTCAGTTGTTTTAATAGGAATGTTAGTAAAAAAATGTTCAAACTCCTGGGCTACATCTACGTTTGATGAAATCTGTCCCCTTTCGGTATTTAAATTAAATTCTGAGTTTCTTAATCTTTTCCTATCAGTCTCGTTGTGTATAACTTTCCAAGTAGTTTTTATCTTATCATCAGACGATTTTATTTTATTACTAATATAAAGACGTTTCGCGACTCTGCATACTATTCTAAAGCATACTATTCTCTGCATACTATCCTGGTAAACCGTATGGTTTACCAGGGCTCCGGTTCGAAGCAGTAGTCGAAACGGGGAGGTTTTTAGTCGGTAAGAGTCTGACATTCTTTCTCGCCTCAGCCAGAGAGTGAGGAATTATTTTGTGAGTTTTCCCCTCGCAATAATAAAAAAGGAAATTCTTCAGGAATGGTAGGCGTTAAAGTACGGACTGTTATTGAAATACTATGAATACTAACCGACACAAGACCCAGACGAGGAGTCGACTTCGAAGCCATGCTTACACCGGCATTCATGTGCACCGCGTGTATTGACACAGTCCTGGAGCTGATCACAAGTGTGGGTACCATGGCGACACTCGTCGATATCTGCGAAGTATAATATATGGGTTAATAGACCTGACGGCTAACAATATAGCCGATCTGCGAATACTGCAAAAATCATCGTGATTCTTGTTGGTCAGCCATTGAAGTAATGCTTTTTTGCATTTATGTGAATTCATAGAATATATGTTAATTTCTTTATTTAATATGTTATATATATGGGATGATCGTTTGGTGTACTGTCTCGTAGCAAATGCAGTTTTCACTGGGTGTTCTGGAGCGACATTATTTATTCTCCTTGTTTTTGTTCTTCTAGGGTAAAAAGGAAGGGATTTATGTTATTATATATAAACAATGCTTATTATTATATATAATAAGCATTGTTTGTGTTGTGCATGTTCACTGTTGAAATATTATAATGAAAAATGAAATAGTGAATGAAATAGTATATGTATAGTATGTATACTAACCGACACAAGAACCAGACGAGGAGTCGAGTTCGTAGCCATGCTTACACCGACATTCATATCCACCTAACGTATTGACGCAATCCTGGAGCTGATCACAAGAGTGGGTGCCATTGCGACACTCGTCGATATCTGCGAAGAATAACAATCAAATTATATTTTCAGGTTCTTATAGAGTGTCAATATCGAATACAATAGCCTATGGTTAAGATTTTACCAGATAATAATGTTAAATAAAGTAAATCACTAATCGAGTAGTTTTTATCCATTAAACAGCTCGACGAAGGTCAATATTATATCAGATCTTAGATGATTGAATTTTTTTAAATCTTGAATGCAGAAATGTTTAATAATATAATAAAGATCTTTTTAAGTTTTTGAAGAATGTAGAGTCAGATAAATCACATAGAAAAGCTGTGTGAAGATTGTATGGAAGAAATAGAAGTTTATGATAATATTATTATGATCTCTGATAGTATGGGCGATAGACCTAGTGAAAACTGAAAAAAGCTATCGATGGTCGTCAGCATCATCAGGGTTTTGGAGGGTACTCAGTGGCGAAAATAATCGCGTCATTCCACAAAACGAAGCTGCGGAAAGGAAAAAGAAGATGACAACTAACCGACACAATCTCCAGCAGCACCTTGTTCATATCCCTCGTCGCAGAACGAAGCTGGTTCTGAGCTATATACACTGTTAAAGAAAATATTAATTATATAAATAAAATCTTTATTCAGCAACTTAAAAACTTCTACAATAAATCTTACGCTGGGGTCTCCTTTTAAGTATGAAAAATACCTGGGCTAGGAGAAATATTGTGATATTGTGCACTCAGATACTGTTTAAATGACTTCATTCAATAATAAAATAAGTATTTTACATACTCATATTCATAGTCCTCGGAGGGTGAGATGGTGGTGGTCGTGGTAACGACATTGATACAGGTGAATGACCCCAGCAGGTTCCGGCATTGCAGGCCATTGCTGCAGATGCTTTGGTTCAAAGCGCACTCGTCAATATCTGAGAATTATCAATCATTTGTATTTAATATATTGATAGATACTCTATCACTTACCAATCACAGTCCGACCTATAATATCTTGTATATTCAGTCAGTCAATTTATTCAGTTAATCAGGGTATTCAATTATTCAGTTATTCAGTTAATCAAGCAGGTAATAAAATAATGACTGACTCAGTACAGAGACAGTAGCTATGTTACACCCACGTTTTTTAACGAAACCATATATTTTGTGATGAATTGTCAGCCCAGTAACCAAACAATGATTACCGACTCTGTACTGAATCACTCTTTATGTTGTTACCTGCATACTAAATAGTTTTTTTTTGGAATATGAAATAAGATGGTAAACGAGCAGACGCATTACCGATTACGGTTAGCAATCGCTGCCGCCCATGGACACCCAAAACACCAGATACAAGTGCGGTACCGGCCTTTAGAGGATTAGGAATTTAAGGATTGTTGGAGATTGGGGAAGGGGGTAATTGGGCCTCCGGTAATCTCACTCGCACGACAAAACACAACGCAAGTGTTGTTTTACGTCGTCGGTTTACTATGAAGCCGTGGTATTACTCCGGTCGAGCCGGCCCATTCGTGCCGAAGCATGACTCTCCTACACTTAAGTCTTAGTCAGTCTGGCTGACTGTACATATTTTATGTACCTATGTATGGTGTATACTAACCTACACAAAATTCCCAGCAGCATTTCCTTCGTAGCGAAAGTCATGCTTTAGTCCTAGGTAGGTTTGCGAAGCTGGGGCGGACCATAATTTTATATAAACAATGCATATTATAATAATGTTCACTATTGAAATATTTTGTATACTAACCTATACAGGACTCGGAGGAAGAGTCGAGTTCGTAGCCATGCTTACACCGGCATTCATATCCACCTAACGTATTGATGCAGTCCTGGAGCAGATCACAAGTGTGGGTACCATCGCGACACTCGTCGATATCTGCAGAGAATATTGGATAATTTCCTCAGTCATAAATAAATTAAAACAACCTTAAAAATAACACATTACTGATTGATTTGCATTCCATCAGTTTCTAGCTAATAATGCTGTTTGACGTCATAAGTTGCCATCTCGAACAATAAAAAACCACATTATTGTATGAAAGAGATCGGAGTTTATGTTATGCTGAAAACCTACAGTCTACACCATGTTATAAGTACAGCATTAATTCTGTAGTCTGTATAGTAGGTAAATACTTTTTTGTTCACGGTTGGAACCTTCAAAAAGGCACTAATCTTCCCCGGTGGCCACCATCCGTACATGAAAGGAAGGAGGCATCGGGTCCTCTTAGTAGACCAGCCCCGAAGCGCCCACGGTGCAACGCCTGTTACGGCACCTTCCTACGGAGACCTTGTGTCTAGAGCCTTTCTGTGCAGTGCACGGCGGCACGTGACCACTGTACCGCCGTCTCCCTTGGGGTCAATAGGTGGGCACCTAGAGTCCCCACTCTATGCGCCCATGACCCTAAAGGTTTGCCTGCCACTGTTATAGGCAGGGATCAACATGTCAGGTTGTTAAAAATAATATTGTTATCGTCTGTAATGACTAACCTTCGCATGTAGATCTTCCTGAACTAAGTTTGGTGCCTTCTTTACATTCTATCTTCGTCTTTGGTTCCTTCTCCGCTTCAGTAGACAGCACGTTTGACTTCCCGGCGCACTTGTAACCACCAATAGTGTTCTCACACAGGTACTTAAGACAAGGTGGGCGAGGCAACTGACACTCATTGATATCTGATAAGTTTAAATAAACGTGTAACATAACATAACATCATGCCTTTTATACCCGAAGGTGTAGGCAGAGGTGCACATTATACTAATGTACAATGTAACACCCACTTTTCACTATTTATGTTATGAATCCCATGTAATAGGGGGTGAGCCTATTGCCATATACCGGGCACAATTCCAGACTCCGTGTTACTACTGAGATTTTTTCAAAAATCCAGTAATACTTTGCCCGACCCGGGAATCGAACCCGAGACCCCTTGCCCGGTAGTCGCACTTGCGACCACTCGGGCAACGAGGTAGTCGAGGAGAGTAGTAGGAGTAAATAAACATGTAATTATAAATGTAGTAGTCCTAGAGCTACTGAACCCTCGGAATAAAATTCTTCGTATGGCCAGAAATTTGAAGGATGGTGATTAGGAGATGGTGATAATGGTGATGGTGAGAGGTGATGGTGCCAATAGTCATGACCTGGCAGTCATCAGACCTGTATATCATCATCGTTTTGGGTAGATACACCCTGATGTGTAGCCTAAATAATACATCTAAGGAGTATATAACCAAAATAACCTGACCGTTAAATACACGGAAACATGATATAAGGCGAGACCATGATAAAATGGATTTTAAAAAAGATGATGATGTTTAGGACTTCATATACCTAAATCATTAATCTTATTTCTAGCCTTACAGGACCAACTTTATTTACAAATAAAATACTTCTAACCATCCAAGGTTCATTAGCTCTTAGACTATGAGTGATGGGTATAAGACAGTAGCTATTTATTACTGTCAATTTAAACGAGCTCGATCGCATTCTCGTCCGCCATTGGTCGAGATTACCTATTCTCACAACCAATGAGATGGCGGACTGCGATCGAGTTCTCTTCGATATTTCGAATTAAAAGTTACAGATTAGCCTAGCAGGTCTTCAGGGCCTCAAGTCTGCTATTATTATAAGTGTTATCATTCCAACACGATTACACTGTCATTTTGCTGAAAGTTCCTAATCTGCTAAATTGATAATAGTCGATCATTGATCGGTCAATGAAATTTTAGTAGAATGACATTGCCTTATTGCCATTATTATTATAAAACTTTGTAGTAGAAATAATTGTCTAAAAACGACTACTTATTAAATCTTTTGAGGTAGTATTTGGACATGCCATTGAGTATTTTAAAGATCCTTCTCCTGCGCGTCGAGCCGGAGCCCCGGTAACCCGTTAGGTTCTCCGCGACTACTTTCAATGGTGTGTCAGTGGTTGACCATTGGAAAGTCACAATGACGCCATTACATTAGTAGATTACCAAACTTGTCAAAATCAACAATTTTGAAATCAATGGTCGATCATTCTGACACTATTGTAATAGCAGAATTGAGGCCCAGCAGTGCTAGCCAAATGCCATTTAGCGCTTGTCTACATGTAGAATAGAAAACCAAATTATATGGAATTGACGTAAATTTTGACACTTGTCAGTGTCATCCCCATACATTTTGATATCTACTCTCACTGTAGACAAGCGCTAAAGTGGCGTTTGGCTAGAGGCCCTGGAAAGATGCTTAGAAAAAAGAAGACTGACACTCACCTTCACATCTCTGATTGACAAGGTTCCACTTGAAGCCGGGAGGACAACTGCCCTCCTCGTCCCCCAACGAGCCCTTTAAGATAATGGGCGTGTTGTCGTATGCTGTGCCGTCATCTGTAGCTATACAAATCATCCGTTACATCTCTCATATGACATAACATTATATCTCACTAGTGACCCGTCCCGGCTTCGCACGGGTGCAATATGGCATACATTATAAAACTTCGTTAAGAATCACTCTATCTATTAAAAAAACCGCATCAAAATGCGTTGCGTAGTTTTAAAGATAGAAGCTTACATAGGGACAGACAGACGGCGGATAGCGTCTTTGTTTTATACTATGTAGTGAAATACATACAATAAACGAATCGGTTTAAGAAAGTGTGTGTGTATTTTACAGGAAACAAATTAATGTATTCTAACTGAAACGTCACTTAATTTTAAGTCGTGCAATTCTGTCATTACAAGTACTTAGCTAAATGAAAGAGATGGCATGGTATTTAAATACAACTTATTTAGTAGCCTTTCAGTATTCGGGTGACGTTTAAACATTATTAATTAATAACAAATTAAACAGTTAGTAACTTACTTCTGCCGTTATATGATAAATATTAAGGTCTAATAGTACCCAAGTTTGATATTGTTAAATTAAATGCTTGGCTTTGACCAAAGCCAACGATGTGTAGGTAAGCGTCGCAGGTTTGTCCCAATAAAAATATAAGATAACACATCGTTGCTTGTGCGCAAATTGGCCAATATTTACGAACTAAGTTATCTTATACTATTTTTTATTTTATTTATTTAATTGATACACAAAACAGAAACGCAGCGCAGTACACAACAGAGTAACAACATAAAACTGTAAATGGCAGACCATGCCCACAAGTATGTGCACACAGCATGACATGCAACTACTAGTATTTATTTATTAACAACTAGCTTTTACCCGCGGCTTCACTCGCGTCACAAAAGGATAAAAAGTAGCCTATGTGACGTAGCGCTGTATGTATTGGTATACATACAGCGCCATCTATACCAATTGTTTTGTTTTCCCTCGGGAATATCAATTTTTTCGGGATAAAAAGTACCCTATTATTTAATCCAGACTACTAACTTTACGTCCGCAAATATTCAATGCAATCGGTTTAGTAGTTACGGCGTGAAGTCGGAACAAACAAACAAACTCACTCTCCGATTTATAATATAAGTAAGGAAGTAAGGATATATAGTAAGGATTATTTATAATGAATTACAATCCAGAACGAAATTAGAGATAAATGGTAATAATAAAGAAAATTATTAATGCAATTAAACAATAGATACATTATTCAATATTATATTCTCATCATCAGACCGAGCAAATAACAATTTTATTAAATTTGTGAAGCGCGGTATTGTTGGATATCGGGCACGCTCATGTCACTCGAGAATAGCTCGTTGTACTTGCGACACATTCTTATCACAGGATTGTGAGACGATACATTGTTGTTGCACATTGGCAAAGAGAAAAACATCTCGCGTCTAACAGATCTGGTAGGGATCCTGAGGTGAATCTGCGATAATAAGCTCGTGGCAAGAATCCCATTCATAATTTTAAACAAATATACCAAATCCTGGTAGGAACGCCTAATTCCCAAGTTCGGCAACCCAAAATGAGCAGAACGCTGTGCATACGTCTGAAGTTCCCTTTTAAAGCCATACCTATGTGATATGAAGCGCACAAAACGGCATAGTACCTCTTTTAAAGAAAATTCTGTCGCAAATTTGCTATCAATTGGAGTTTTCCCTGTAGTCGTTCACGCCGAGTGCATGCCAATATCGCCTAATGATGGTCGACCGCCAACTTTGGCGATTGTAAATGGGGTAGACGACTAATTTTTATTTTAATGTCCGTCTGATAGATTATTTAAAAACATTAGACACGTATTTTTTATTTTCTCACAGAAACGAATAGTTTCGAAGATATATTGATTTGAAATGTCGCGTGACGTCACTTCTCACTACATTTTATACTAAGGAATGACGTTTTAGCCCCCACTCCTAAACTTTGATTCGTTTTATCTAAGTATTGTTTTATTATACGACAAAATAAAAAAATACGTGTCTAATATTTTTTCATTACCTAACTTACGGACTAATTATATTTTTAATTTTCATACCCTGTCATCATCCCCATTGTATAACCACTTTTCAACCGTTATAAATCCTATTGAATAGGTGGTGTATGGCCAATTTGCCATACACCTCCACCACTTTCAGACTCCGTGCTACTACTGAATTTCTACATATGTTACTGCATTTCATATAGTTAGTTAGTAAAAATTCCAGATACTCAACCCATGTAATTTTATCGTGACATTATTTTCGAGACTTTTTTTCCACTGATATCGCCAGAGTCACAAGTGCTAGATGCGGGTGGCGAGTTCTTGTTCAACGTAGAGAATTAAGGAGTAGAGGTTTTTTTTAAGGAGGGAAAATCATCGAATGACTGCACCCGCCTGGGTGAGGCGGGAGGGAGTGTCAGACTCTTACTGACTAAAAACCACCCCGTTCCTTCTCCTGCACCTCGAGCCGGAGCCCCGGTAACCCGTTAGGTTCTCCGCGACAGTAGGGCTAAGTATAAGGCTTTGATGAGCAGTGAACGTTTCATGGCTGATGATGATGATAATGATTTTTGAATAAGCTTTCGTGCCTTGATTTTCCACGAAAATGGCACACAATTATACAGTTTCCTAAACAATCGGCCAGATACCCGTGAATTGTGGTGCTGGTGTACTTCAGCTACAGTGACTGCTTACCATCAAGCGATCTGTACGCTTTATTGCCTTTAAAGGATCGCTTGAGTGCTAAACTTAGAAAAACTGTTAATAAAATACCTCTAAATAATTCAGGGAATAATTTGTATAATATTTATTAGGTACGGTTATTTCATTTCATCGTTTATATTATACTAGCTACTTCCGCGCGGTTTCACACGTTCTGCTCAGCTCCTATTGGTCGTAGCGTGATGTTTTATAGCCTATAGCCATCTTTGATAAATGCGCTATCCAACACAAAATGAATTATTCAAATCAGACTTGTAGTTACGGAGATTAGCGCGAAACAAACAAAAAAACAAACTCTTCCGCTTTATATAATAGTATATAGTATATATGAGAGTATAAGATATAAGATATATTTTATGGAAGTTTAACACTCATGTGTTCTTTTGGAGAAGCTGTCTTGTTACCTAGGAGTATAAAAAATAAACAAACTTACCGCAAACTCCCGGCCAAGATAAGCACACTGTACAAAACACGATCAAGAAAAACATTATTCTTAATTAAATTTTAGAACGAACACACATTAGATCAGGGCTTAAATTACAATGTTTGAAAAAAAGTATAAGTTTTTTATGGACGACAGCTTGTATTCCAAGTTACGTCGGCAACGTCTTAGTTCGTAATGAGAGTAGGTCTGCAAAAATATTGTATACCTAAATAGTGATAAGATTTACATAATAATATGACACATCAGTGTGACTACACTGTCAACACTAGGCATCACGGCCTTTTTTTGGACCTTAAGGGGGAAAATCCTGGTGGAGCCCCCTCAAAGTCAATTATTTCGATTGACCCTTAATTAGGCATTTTTGGAACGTCAATATTGAATTGTCTTTCATTGAAGCTAAGGTCAGTGTCACCTGGGAAAGACGAAAGACGAAGGGGACTGTCAGACTGTTACTTACTGACTGAACTCCACCCTAGTTTCACGGGTGTCTCTCATGAAAGACGTGATCAAATTCATCCGCACAGAGTAGGAATCATCCTATTGCAGATCACAGTTATGTTAGTGGCATTAATCCAAAACTAACCATTTAGGTAGATATTTTCTTACCACGAGAGGGCCATGCTTCGGTACGAACTCTGGCTCGACAAGGATGATACCACGGCTTTATAGAAAACCGGCGTGAAACAACGTTTGCGTTAAGCTGCGTTGGGAAGATTATCGGAGGTCCAACCCTTCTTCCATCTGTAATCCCTAAATCCTCAATCTCTACACCTTTTGTCTTCGAAGGTGAATGAAAAGGTGATTTAAACACAATGTATACTGTGTGAACCTATTTCTACTCTAAAACCAAACTGTACACCTATTTATGTTCTTTATCCATTCGGTTTTTCCGAACTCCAATATTTTATACTCGAGGGTTTTACCACTTGAGATAACCTTTCACCGTAAGACAAAACTGAGGAAACTGACAAAACAAACTGTTTATATTCTAGTTCAAGGGAGACCAGGTCTATTTACAATTTTTTGAAAATGTCTATACTGTAGATTAATTAGTAGGTATAGCTGTACGTGCACGGGCCTGCGGATGGCGAGCATGGGTGACTCGCCGCCCGACCAGAACCAGGCCCGAGCGTACGGCGCGTCGCGTTCCGCGCGCGCCTCAAGGAGCCATCAGACCACCACAGATGGGGCCTAACAGGGCTGATGCCGATACGGAGCCGCGGAAGACTTAACGGGTTGCCGGGGCTCCGGCTCGAAGTGCAGGAGTAGGAACGGGGTGGTTTTTAGTCAGTAAGAGTCTGACTCTCCCTCCCGCCTCACCCGGGCGGGAGAAGTCATTGGATGATTTTCCCCCCTCAAAAAAAAAAGGTATAGCTGTACGTACGGACATATATATATGAGAATCTCCATTCTTCAGAAGGTCTCCACAAATAATTTTTTGATAGGTAGTTTTAAGGCGTGGGAGAGCCATGCTTCGGCACGAATGGGCCGGCTCAACCGGAGTGATTCCACGACCTCACAGAAATCCGACATCAAACAACGCTTGAGTTGTGTTTTGTCGTGTAAGTGAGGTTACTGGATACCCAGTTACCTTTTCCAATCCCTCCCCTAACGATCCTCAAATTCCTAATCCCTGAATGGTCGGTAACGCACTTGTAAGGCCTCTGGTGTTTCAGATGTACATGGGCGAACCCGATTGCTTACCATCAGATGAACCGTCTGCTCGCTTACCGGCTTATCCCATAAAAAAGCTGAAACACTAAACGAACCACCCACTCCTCTAAAATGGGGGGTGGAAGTTTATATGTAGTTTTCTACAATTTTCTAGGTAGAAAGCTGAAAATTGAAATGCAAACTATTTGCGACTAACAAAAGAATTGTGAATTATTTTCTTTTCATTAAAGGTGATATTAGACAGTTCACTCAAATGAATATACACCACAGTGAATGTTTCATTTATCTACCATTGCCATGCTCAAACTTCTTTAGTGGAATAGCAAAGAAATTAACGTTCATTGTTGTTCCGAAAACATCGTTGGATCGGTTCACTAATGAATTCATTCTGCGCTCTTGTTTCATTCTCATATTTAGACGTATCATTTTGAGTGAAAGATGCTGAATAAAAGACAAAAATGAACTGTCTGATATCACCCCGAACAGAGAGTGATTGTAGTCAGTGTACTTAGGTAGTGATTAAATGAAAGGCGGAGTTTTATAATTTATAGGTATTTAATACCAGATTTTTTACACTATAAATATTAAGTAGTCGTTACTTTTAGGTTTAACATATAACAATTAGGTATATAGTATAAACAAATTTTGGATCTTCAGTGGTACATTGTACATAATATAAATATTTTATAATTTTTTAACAAATAGAGATGTTCAGTAGATGTCGTTGATACTTTATTTGACGGTAAAATACTGTTTTATAGAAGTTAAAAATGAGTTTGGAATAATGTGACAAGTCCAGTGTTTAGTTAATTTCTGAAAACTAAATAGTTGTGTCTAACCAGTTACTTACTTAACTTAATGTGTGCATAAAGTCCTATAGACAGAAAGCTAGTCTGAATTAACCAATTTGAAAAACCATATTATTTATAAAAAACTGTATGACGTCACTAATTACTTTAAAACCTTGAAAGACACGTAATCAAAAGTAAGGAAAATATAATCTATCTGACTACTGAACATCCCTACATTGATTTATTGTTAAACATAATTATAACATTCCAATAAAAAAGTCACTAAACTAATTCACTATTATCTTATTTCAAACTAGAGAATAAAGCGAGGTGCTCTTCTAAAATAGTCTTTATTACAATATCACTAGAACTCATACTGCGAGACGATTACTACGAGTCTGGCGACTGCACTGCCAGCGAACATGGTGCGCTGGTAGAGTGACATGGTGAGCTCAAGTTCCACCACTTGAGGACCTTGCAGCGAACACAGGAGCGAGATCACGCAAATATTGCCTGATGGACGCATGCTGGAAGGTAAGAAAAGAAATTAGTTTCAAAAATCCTCAGAAATCATCATGCCGTCTTTTTTATGGGATAAGTCGGAAACGAGCAGACGGATCACCTCATGTTTAGCAATCGGCCTCAACAGTGAACCTCGAGAAATGTGATCATTATATTAAAATCTGCCTCATTGGCCGAGTGGTCGCAAGTGCGACTGCCGGGCAAGGGGTCTCGGGTTCGATTCCCGGGTCGGGCAAAGTATTACTGGGTTTTTAAAATCTCAGTAGTAGCACGGAGTCTGGAAAAATGTGCCCGGTATATGGCAATAGGCTCACCCCCTATTACATGGGACTCATAACATAAATAGTGAAAAGTGGGTGTTACATTGTACAGTGGCATTAAGTGCCGAAATGTGCACCTCTGCCTACCCCTTCGGGGATAAAAAGGCGTGATGTTATGTATATTAAAATCTTCACCAAAATTAAGTACTCACTCGAAACACCGAAGATCTGCAGGTTGTATGCCAGGCGACGCTTGCACCGATACCATGCGCATCTCAAAGCTAACTAAAGACTCCCGCCATGATGGACCGTGCATCGTGAAAAGATCCACCTAAAAAAACATAAGCAGATTAATATAAATAACACCAAAGTACAAATTTTACCTCCCCATGACATGACGATTAGACAAGATTTTAAAGTGTGGGAGAGCAAAAATTGAAGCTATTTGCTCATTCCTATGGAGAAGAACGAGCAAGAAACTCCATAGGTTAACTACTATTTTCCAATCAGGTTCACAATACAATTCTCTAGTTACATAGTTTTGTTTAAGGTAATTGAGATTAAGGCCCTGATATTGCAGTATTACTCCTGTAATAATGTAATAATGTCTAATCTTTGCTCTATAAACTAAATGTTGGTTTCCAGAAAAGACTTAGAAACCTTTTTAAACTGTCAAACACCGCGAGGACACCGGTGACCGCAACTTATTGTTCTTTAATTGTGTCTAGAGGTATAATGACGGTACTCAACGAGTTAATAGAAACTAGGAAAAATTAATGAATGGACTTGTTTCTTACACTCCCAGAAGGCAGGTATATGTTGGCCACAAACGTAATGAAATTATAGCTGTAAGTGCTGGGCTGCTGAAGACACGTCCAATCACCAACTTGACAGGATCTCTGCACGCGGACACAACGGCTGGAAACAATGGAACATTTTAGATTTTAAACATCACCTTACATAAAACCGCAGATCATCTGGATTAGATCATTTTGATCTGATGCATCAAACAGACTGAAACTGAAGACTTAGTTTTTTTTTAAAGGGGGAAAATCATCGAATGACTGCTCCCACCTGGGTGAGGCGGGAGGGAGTGTCAGACTCTTACTGACTAAAAACCACCCCGTTCCTTCTCCTGCACTTCGAGCCGGAGCCCCGGTTACCCGTTAGGTTCTCAACACCCAGGTGTCATGTGTTTGTAAACTTGTATGTTTGTAAACGCACCCACGACACAGGAATAAATCCTAATGTGGGGTAACGTAAAAAAACCTTTTCGTTCCAAAAACAGAATACCTAATGGATTTTTTTAACAACAGTTCAGTGATGTAAGAAATTGGTACTCACTGCTTTGACTCCAGCTTGTATCCTGGGGGACAGTCGATGTGGTGACAGTGGTAGCTGCCTCGAGTGTTCTGGCACACATAGCCGGCGTCACTGCCGCGTGCGCACCGAGCCTCGCCCGTCTCACACTCGTCTATGTCTATAAGTTCACAAGACATTAAATTACGTGAATAGGGATGATGACGGGGTATAAAAATTAAAAAACCTAATTAGTCCGTCAGTTAGGTAATGAAAAAATATCAGACACGTTTTTTTTATTTTGATGTATTTTAAAATTATATTTAGCTAGAACGAATCAAAGTTTAGGAGTGGGGGTAAAACGTTATTTCTACGAATAAAATGTACATAGAAGTGACGTCACGCGACATTTCAAATCAATATATCGTCGAAAGTATACGTTTCTGTAAAAAAATACGTGTCTAATATTTTAAAATAATCTACCAGACGGACATTAATATAAAAATTAGTCATCTATCCTATTGTAAAGCAACTTAGACCATTAATTCCATGGTCTCTATGACTCGCTTGAAGTAAAGTTTTATAACTATTTAAAGAATTTAGGTAGTTAATTCCTCATAATGAAACCTACTATAAATTACTAAAATACTTACTTAATAGAACATCTAATGGTACGTTTACGTGTTATGAACGCGTACGGCACGTTCACATTACGGTCTTGTAGATGCACCTTATAGATGTTTCCATCTTGTTTATGATCAGTATAAAATTTTAATGTCATGGTGGTGCCGATTCGAAACCTACCAACGGCAAGTACCAATATGACTTTTTCCGAGATATATGTACTTTCCAAGATTATTTAGACACCCCTGACAAACGGTGAAGGAAAACATCGTGAGGAAACCTGGACTTATAATTTCTAATTACAGTAAGTTTGAAATAGCCAACCCGCATTGAGCAACTGTGGTGATTAATGCTCAAACCTTCTCTGTGTGAGAAGAAGCTTTGCTCAGCCGTGGACATTTAATGGTTGTTGATGATGATGACGGTAAAATTTTATGACTTACCAATACAGCTCCTACTATCTTCCGAAAGCCGGTACCCTGCAGGACAAGCGCACCGGTAGCTGCCAGGCTCGTTGACACACTCGCCTCCACAAAGCTTGCCGCGCAGACGAACTAATGAGAACTCTTCACATTCATTCACATCCACACAAGTCCTGAAAAGAAGAGAGAATCGACAATGTACTAATGTGTTTTTATGAGTATTAACATAACATAACATAACATCCTTTTATCCCCGAAGGGGTAAGCAGAGGTGTACATTACAGCACTTAATGCCACTGTGTAACACCCACTTTTCACTATTTATGTTATGAGTCCCATGTAATAGGGGGTGAGCCTATTGCCATATACCGAGCACAACTCCAGACTCCGTGCTACTACTGAGAATTTTAAAAACCCAGTAGTACTTTGCCCCACCCGGGAATTAAACCCGAGACCCCTTGCCCGGCAGTCACACTTGCGACCACTCGGCCAACGAGGCATTCCTAGACCATAATATAAAATAGAAAGACCAGAAAGCAAGTTATTTGATATCAGAATAATGTTTAATCTATACTGAAACTAAATTGAATCTAAGCTGAAAAGATTATTTCAACGCATTAATCTCCGAAACTACTGGGCCGACATGAATAATTTTCTTTTTTGGGGTAGATAGTCCATTTATGGCTTATAGGCTATAAAATATCACGCTACAACGAATAGGAGCGGATAAAACTAAATATAAGAAAGAATAGCTACTTTAAGAATAAATGCCACCCACGTCAAGGGTACATAGCATACTTGTTCACTTACTTGTTATCATCATCAAGACGGTACCCTCTCTTGCAGTAGCACCGGTAGCTTCCCCAAGTATTGGAACAGCCCTGGCTGCAGATCCCAGGGGTTTCAGAGCACTCGTCTACATCAACACAGACCTTGTCATTGGATGGGGCGTTACGGAAGCCAGTGCGGCACTCACATCTATATGAACCCCATGTGTTAAGGCAGTCTGCGTTGTATGCGCATGGCTAGAAAAAGAAAAAGTGTGATTAGCCATAGAAAATTTAACTCTTTCTGTTTCTAGGTCTGAATTCAGGAGATATTAGCAATTAAATGACTATAAATTCAGATAATAATTATTACTATAGGTATTTTGTCTACAACTAGTTAACGGTTATTACAGAACTCGTCGATTCTACTTTCTCTGTCTCCAACTTTGTCACAACACAGTCTGTATGTTTTCTCTTATTAAATTCGACAGTTACTATTACAAAACTTATGCATTTCATAGTAATTTATATAATTTTATTTTCTTCTTCTCTGTCGTTTCGCTCTTGGCAAAGCTATTGTTGTCACGTTGAGGCCGTATTTGTGTTGGTCGCCGATACAGCTTTCCTGACTATCTCCCACCATCTCTTCCTGTTTGTGGGTTGTCTGGCGCAGTCTGACACTGGGTTTCCCGTTGCCGATTTTACTTGATCAGTCCAGTGCATAGGAGATATGCCTCGTGATCTGGTTCCCTCTACTTTCCCCTGAACGACCAGCCGCTCTATGGAGTTGTAATCACGATGGGAGACATGGCCAAAGTACTGCAGAATGCGCGTCTGTACTATATATTTTGTTTTACGGTCACCTAAATATAATATAATATTTTTATATCATTAGAAAGAAAGAAAGAAAGAAAAACCATTTATTTTTGCGCAAAACACACATAACATAACCAAAAATAAAACCATTAGATTTACTTTGTCATGGGTTTACTTACATTTCCATGCATACACTCGTTGATGTCCTCGCACATGTTCTGTCCTACCAGCCTGTGTCCAGCCGGGCACTGACAGGAGTACCCTCCGTAGAAGTTCTCACATCGCTGGTCTGGCCCACACTCCGAAACATTACGGGCACACTCATCGATGTCTGAATGTTGAAAAAATAATATTAAAGTTACAGTAAACTCTTAAAATTACCGGAATGGTCCCACATTAATCTTTTTTAATATTTCTCAACGGGTATATGTATGTCGAAACTTTCTAAAACGTGGCATTCCTGCCAGCCTTTTGGGTATTTTCCATATTGACGTCGATGCTGACGAATTTTTCGATGCTCTATGTAAATAGTTATTTTTAGTTTTCTTTAATTTATTTTTTATCTTTTTGTATCTTATGTTGTGAATAAAATTTGGAAACAGGACGAAGCTTTCGGTTAATTCCCAGGTTTTAAGTTCTAGAATGTAAAGCTATATTCTGTATTTTCTCTATATTCTGTTGGCTATAAACACAGTAACGATCTATATTGTTGGCCTCGAAAAAGCTGATTCAAGCTGAGGTGAAAAGGTGGTATTAGTAGGTAAAACATTTGCCCTTCAAAGTAAAAATAGTCTAATTTACACCTTTTTTGTACTAAAGTTTCTTAAGTCTCGTCTTACCATAGCACCTCTTCTCAGGTGTAAGCTTGTATCCCCAAGGACATGAAGCTACCAGTGCACCCACGTCAGGGAGCCTGGTATACGTTGGTCGCGGGGAGTAGGGACCTCTCTGCCCGTACTGTGCTCCAACTGTAATCACGTTGCGACCCTCGTTCGAAGGAGCTGATGATGGCCGAGTGGTAGAACTCGAGGGAGTTGGAGCTGCAATGAAATTGGGCCTTGAGAATCTTCATAGGAGGCATAGGAACAGTGCTGTTATGTTTGTGGTATGAGTTAGTACTTACTGTTTATGGTATGGTTCACTTCACGGAATGAGCTCCAAAAACTTAATTGCCTACTAATTTCAAGCGGTTCGAAATCCTAACTTTAAGGCACATAATTATATGTATAAAAATATATACACTTTGGAGCAAACAAACGGAGTCACTACCTTTATTTTTTCATTTTATGGAAACATCTATAACTTTAAAAAAATATTCATTTTACAGTAAAATGCTCTCATTTTAAAGGTAATATATGACATACGTTATCAATTCATAAAATATTAATGTATTATTACTTTTACCAAGAAATGAAACGAGTAAACGCTAGAGGCAACGTTTATTTGCTCTCAAGTGTACAAATGTATAAGAATGTACTGAGGTCGTGTTAAGCAACTGCGACGCTTGCCTTATGATCTCCAATGAGTTTTTATATTTGAAACTTACTGATTACTGATCTGTCATCTCCTCTACATCTTCTGCCACATTCACAGCGGTAACCACCTTCCACGTTTATACAATCTTCCAGAGCAGAACACGAAGCTTGGTTGGTAGCGCATTCATCTATATCTGGAGATTAAGATGTACACATTTATAAGTTTTTTGAAAAAATTATTACAATAAAATTTAAATGATTATTTGTTTACTATTGGATTTTAAATAGTAATAGTATAACCCATAGCTAACACATATTCTCTCTTCTCTCTCTCTCTCTCTTCTTGTTTATGTTGGTCCTTTGAACTTGTTTTTGGTAATAAATACAACATGTTTTTATTTGGAATCCCAATCGGGTCCTATTTTTTACAAAAACTTACCAACGCACTTCCCAGCACTGCCGTCGAAGGTGAAGCCCAGTTCACAAGAAACTGGAGGATATCTGCGGTCAGGGCGTTCGGGACGGTCTGGGCGGTCCGGGCTGACTGGGCGGTCCGGGCGGTCTGGACGGTCTGGGCGGTCTGGGCGGGCCGGGCGGCTCGGTCGAGCTGGCGTGTATCCCCATTCCGGATTCGCAACTGAAAGACAGATATTTTGTTATGACTATGACTAGAAGATAGGTAATTAACTGTAACTTTCGTTACCAAAATATTTCCCTAGACAAATCCTCGGATTTTTTTTTAAATCTCTTTAACTGGACTTAGGTGTTGCATTGTTCTCACACAATCGAACCAACAAAACTATGTAACTAGAGAATTGTATCGTAAGCCCGATTGAAAAAGAGTGGTATGAAGTATAGAGTTTCTTGCTCGTTCTTCTCCATTCTTGTTCTCCTTCTCCATGGAATGAGCAACACTAGCTTTACTTCTAAATTTTTGTTGTTGATGTTTAAAAGTGCCTTCCTGGTCTAATTGAAATAAATGATTTTGACTTTGACTTTGAAATCAGGAGTTAACTCACCAGCAGTTCTTTGTGTAGTTGTAGTGGTGGTAGTCGTGGTGCTGGTAGTGGTCCTGGCGGTCGCAGGTGTAGTGACGACGTTACAGTACCCTGAAGGATCCCTGCGGAACCCGGTTATGCACTCGCAGATATATCCACCTGGCCTGTTTAGACACATTTCGGTGTTTCTGCAAGCGTGTTGTCCTAAGGCACATTCGTCCGTGTCTGAAAAACATTAAATTGAATATGAAATAAGTATTTTAATCAACAAACAAAGACTGAAGTCATAAGTCCAAATGAATGAAAAGTTATTCAAAAATATGCGCTAAGTATCCATATGAATACGGTTTTGTTTTAAATTAATAATATTTTCTTATGCAATCGCCTTACCAACACAATTTCCAGCTGCATCCTTTTCATACCCATCCAAACAATGCAGGTCGTTGATGTTAAAGTCTGGAGTTTCATCTTTCGGTTTCTCTCCTCCGATCTCATTCGTTCTCCTATCATCTGGTACTGCAGGAGTAGGTTCAGGCCGGGTAGCTGGTGTTTCTGGCCTAGACGGCCTATTATTTGATGGTCTATAAGGAGGTAAGGGCCTCGTATCGTTCGGAACCTCGTCAGTAGGTTCTGGATTGACGGGTATGTAGGGTGGTAACGGTTTCCTCGTGCTGGACTCCGGTCTTCGATTGTAAGGTCTTCGCGGGTAGTAGTCTGGTCTTCTCGGAGTTCTTAATGTGGTCGTTGAAGAAGTTGTTGTTGGTCTATCGTAGTATGGTGGGTATGGATTGTTTCTAGGTCTGGCTGTCGATGTGGTGGTGGGTTTTGCCGTCGTGGTCGTGGTGGTGGTTGTGGTAGATGTGGTGGTAGGTTTTGGCGTGGTAGTGGTTGTCGTGGTAGTCGTTGAAGTTGTGGTACTGGGCGTGGTCGGCACTGTTGGTACTGTCTCTGGGTAACCGCTGTCGGTTGTCGAGTTGTCTTCGCTGTTGAAACACGTACAGGTTTTTTAGATATGTGTAACTCTTATAATTTTTCCTCTATGTTTTTGACTTTTAGGATGCAAGTTTTTTTGCCCAAAATAGGATGTAATTACAGACTCAACATACGACTGACATTGAGAAGTATCCAGACATATAGCCATATAGCAATAGGTTATTAAATGGGACCATAAAGTTTCAAAATGCTTACTCAGAGTCATAGTACTCGTACTCATAGAGTGGGGGGCTGGTGGAGGTAGTGGTAGTTGTACTGCTAGTGACAGCCCGTTTGGTGCAGGTGAATGACCCCAGCAGGTTCAGGCAATGCAACCCACTGGCGCAGTTATCCAACTTCAATGCACACTCGTCAATGTCTGTGAATAATCAAATATTTGGTTAAGATTGGTTAACAACTTTAGTTGCTAGACTTCTTCCAGTACGACGCTGGTTCTTGATTCCAGTGTACACAAAGTACCAGAGCATACTTAAGGAACAAATTATTCATGGCCAATCTTCAACAAAACACTATGCCCTTCCATGGGGTAGAAGAAGAAGGTTAAGAATGTGATGACCTTTCCTATCTCTTCTGACAAAGTCTTTCCGGATTCGCTTAAGTCTTAAGTAAAGAAAGTTAAGTTAAGTTTTAAGTCTTTTAGTTTTGTGGCCAAATAAATAAAATAATAAAAATCGAGGTGGTACAAAATGAGGAAAAATATAACTACGTACCGACGCAAGACCCAGATGAAGAGTCGAGTTCGAATCCATTCTTACACCGACATTCATGTCCACCGTACGTGTTGATGCAGTTCTGGAACTGATCACATAAGTGGGTCCCTTCACGACACTCGTCAATATCTGCAAAGAATCACGTCAATTTTATATATTTTCAGGTTAATTTCATTAGGTTTAACCAACAATTTTAGGGTAGTCTTTAGAATACACCAAAAATAAAAAAAGATAATGAATGAAAAAGAAATGATGATGATTAACCCATGGTATGCCGAACGTAGATATACGCGAGACATGATGTGTTTTCTATTGTGTCTCATATACCGGCAGATAACAGATTAAAGACGCTCGATTAGTGTAGATTCTCACAACGAACAAAGAGTAACTAAAGAAGAATAAAGTGATTGTGGAATATCTGTAGTCTGACCTTCACAAATGGATCCTCCTGAACTAAGTCTGGTTCCTTCTTGACAGATTTTAGGTGTTAACCTGGAAAATAATCAGGATTCAGAAAAATACGTCTTAAAATCGTATCTAGCAAACTTTCCACTCATATTTTCTCCTCCAAGTGTAACAACAATGAAATCTTTTTCTCTATAAGTAGTTTTTTTTTTTTTTAAGGGGGGAAAATCATCGAATGACTGCTCCCGCCTGGGTGAGGCGGAAGGGAGTGTCAGACTCTTACTGACTAAAAACCACCCTGTTCCTTCTCCTGCACGTCGAGCCGGAGCCCCGGTTACCCGTTAGGTTCTCCGCGACCTCTATAAGTAGTTAAGTATCAATTTTTATATTAATGGCTCTACTATTTAAAGGCGATGAACCAAGAAACCCATAAAGATATATTCTACAATTTATGCTTACTTTGGTAAGGTGCTTATTTTAGACTTGCAGTTGTATGCTCCCGGTAGATTGATGCACACTTCAGTGCGCTTGCACACCTCTTCTGAACTCTCTTCACATTCATCAATATCTGGAAACAAAATATTTGTCATTTTATTTATATATTCTTCCTTGTTAAGTAACAATAATGAGTCGTCATTCCTGAAGAACTATTCAATGAAATTGATTCAAACCTTCACATATGCCGGTGGCGCTGTTGACCTTGAAGCCAGGGGCGCAGCGCTTGGAGACATGGTCTTGACAGAAGAAGCTACCGTGCGTGTTGATACAGTGCTGCGATAGACGCTGGCAGTCGTCTAACCGCTCTCCACATTCATCGATATCTGGAGAAGAGTATTGTACTCCATAAAATAATAGTGGTTGTGGAAAAACAACTTATTTGTGACTTTACAGTGTTTTTCATTTCTCATTGTAGTGTAACTTGAAATCTCAAGTAACTTCAGAGTTTGGCAATAAGTTCTTTCGTAAAATATGGGATTTATAAAAAAATATGCATAATGTTCAGGTACAGTATTTCTAAATAAGCAAAAATATTCTTTACGGTTTTACAGTCCATAGACCGGTGTACATAACATGTTACGTTTTAATTATTATGTTTTCGGCTTACTCACGTAATTATTTGACGAGGAACTCGACTAGTTTCAAACCGTGGTAGAGGCTCATATTCGTGAGCACTATTCCGCGACGCGTCACGTTAAATAATTACGTGCGTAAGCCGAAAAACATAATAATTAATTTAATATGTCTCACGAAAGTAAATGTTACGTGTTTTCATATGACTTACCAACGCATTCATCATCAGGTCCGGCTCTAAATCCAGGTGGGCAGATATCATTCTTTGGTGAAGAAGTGGAGCTGACGGCAGCTTCGGTGACCGCTCCAGGGACCGCTTCAGTGAATGGCTTGCCTGACTTCCCGGCGCACTTGTAACCGCCTATTGTGTTCTCACACAGGTACTTCGGACATGGTGGACGAGGCATCTGACACTCGTTGATATCTGTTTAATATATAAATTTATTTTAGTAATATTGAATGCAGATGGAACCTTCAAACCTTCCTTCAAAACTTCAAACGAATGGACGCTCCAAACAAAATGTGATATCATATCTGATGTTATGTATTTAAATGATGTTATTTAAATAGTATCCACTTGGAAACTGAAGCTTCATTAACCATCCCTAAACCATCTCTTTACTAAAAGCTAGGCTAAGTAATAGCCTGACATATTACCTAAACTAACCCCTTACTTGTAGTTGTCACTAATACGTTGGTCATAACCAAAATGTTGCTAAATGTCACCTAACTTAGTTTAGAGGTTCCTTAAAATTGACAACCGATAAACGGGCTTAAGGCTCTTTGCTACCTAAATTCACTCTTCGCAATATTTAATTGTTTCCTATCATTATGGTGATAGAAGTAAATCGATTTAAACTCACCATCGCAGACTTGGTTGACAAGGTTCCTTTTAAATCCAGGAGGGCAGCTAAGTCCAACGTCTCTCTTCTTGATGGGCACGCATTTGAACGCTCCAGGTGTGTTGTGGCACACCGTATCTTCTGCTGTACACAAATCATCCGTAGCTTCCGCACACTCATTTATATCTATTTGGTGTAATAAATACTTGTATATAATATACATACTTTATATATTAAGCTATAAATATATCTATGCATATCTATATATAACTATAAATATGATGATAAGTTTGTATTATGATGAAAATGCTAGTCCTCGTGTCCATGTTAGGACCAGGATTTCTCAAGTATGGATATGTCAAGAACTTAATATAAAAAAGCCGTATACATTTTTTGTAAGTAGGTACATAAAAATATTGCTGCATAAGTAAATAATCAATAAGCGTAAAATAATATATTAAGCGAATATTATACGTGATAGCGATTTTATTAGTTTGAATAATTATAAATTCTGATGATAGAAGATGTATCCAGAATCAAGATATATCAGAATCAGAACTTTTATCAAAAATCCACTTATGTGGGCCATGCCTAACACCTTCTTTCATCTGCACTATAGAGACGAGGCTCTGTCATCCATCGTACAGGTTACTTTTTCTATCTCTAAATCAATAAATTGACATGATATCAAAGTAGACTTTCAATTTACTTTTTACTGCTATTGCTTTGTCGTTGTTAGTAGAGGTCCACTTAATCTATATCCTACCTTTACACGATTTCTTATCCCCCTGTAGCCTGTATCCCTCCCGACACGAGCACCTCACGACTCCTCCCTCATCATTGCACTCATGTTCACACGAGTCTTTCTCACACTTCTGCTTCTCCACTTTCTTTTCTGTGGTCACTTCAATCTTCTTCTCCGTTGTAGACTCCGGTTTCTTTTCTGTTGTCGTTTCTGGAGTTTCTGCGGCTTCCTGTATATTTCGGTTGTTTAAGTTAGTTTCTATATGTATTTGTGGACATTATCCATCACCATTTTTTGGTTTCACCCTACCGCCTAAGTTTGATTATATCCATGCAGGGGTGGACCCCTAGAGTCAAGTACAACTCTGGACTAGAGTCCAGAGTTGTACTTGATTTTATACTCACCCCATATTAACAACAATACTAAAATATGATATTTTATTAATAACAATAAAATATCGTATTATACTGATTATACTTTTGGTGTAAAACGTTAAATAAACTTTTGTTCTAACACCCCTATTTTTTTAATCATCGAATGTCTTCTCCCGCCTGGGTGAGGCGAGAGGGATAATCAGACTCTTACTGACTAAAAACCACCCCATTCCTACTCCTGCACTTCGAGCCGGAACCCCCGTAACCTTAAGTTCTCCACGGCGCTTCTAACACCCCTATAAAGTTTTATAGACTAAGTTCATGACACCAACTTCTACCTGCTGCATAAATAAATCTGCAACTTGGACTTACCACACAACACTGATGGTAAGCACCCTTCCTCAGCGCAGTAGATGGACTGACTCCTTCAGTTGAGGGTGCAGACCCACATCCTCCTTTACCCTGAGACTCTCCTGTCCATCTTCCTATTGAACATTCTTCACAGCATGACTAGATAAATAGCATTTTATTAGAAACACTACAAAAACATTTTATAGAACTAATGTTCATTTGTTTTTTTACTTCGCCCCACATTACGATTTCTCCTGTGTTGTGGTTATGGGTGTATGTACAAACATACGATTTCAAATATATATGACACCTAGACCCGAAACAACAATTTTGGATCACACAAGGAGTTGCTCCGTTCTTCGAATCGAACCCACTACAAGGTGCGTAGCAGCCTGTTGTACAGTCATTAGATTAGATACTCTTAATGTGGGAGGATCCTTTCTAAAAGGATTTGCTACATTACTTTACACGCGGACGCACAAAAAAGGTCGATAAAGTATTTATAACTTCTCTGGTGCCTAGCGGTGCTGATGGCTTACCATCAGGTGTACCGTTTGCCCGTTTTACTTCTATTCTATAAACAATATCTTACCGATCCAATCTCGGAGTCTGCAGTGCTGCATTTTTTTGCTGCTGCCAACTTCATACCTGCTACACATGATTCCTTGGATCTGAAAGTAAATAAAATTCATAATTTAACTTCTAAAAGACATTATCGTTCAATTATTCCACTTGACATGAAAAGAGTAGTTACACTCTTTAATTTCTTTTAAGACAGAGTTGCACATTATATAGAATATGTGTAGAATAAAAGATCTACTTTTGACCATTCATAAAAACCTGAATTGAATCAAAACTGTATTCTTACTGCCTCGTTGGGCGAGTGGTCGCAAGTGCGACTGCCGATCAAGGGGTCGGGCAAAGTATTACGGGGTTTTTAATTCTCAGTAGTAGCACGGAGTCTGGAACTGTGCCCGGTATATGGCAATAGGCTCACCCCCTATTACATGGAACTCATAACATATATAGTGAAAAGTGGGTGGCATTGTACAATGGCATAATGTGCACCTCTGCCTATCCCTTTGGGGATAAAAGGCGTGATGTTATGTTATGTATTCTTACTTGAGCTGCTTTTCACAACAGCTGGATATCGCTGCAAGGCACACTGTCATCTGTTCAGGTTCTATGTCTTCTGGCGGAGTGATTCCTCCACAGGTCGGTGCCGTCACCGCCGCGCTCTCGCCGTGTGCGCAACATGTGTCTGTCACTTCTAGCTCTTCGGAGGAAGATAGGGCTGTGGGCAGGAATTTATAATGACAATATTACTTACTTAAAAAAATTAAAACAAGAAGAATAGTAACAACAATAAATGGTAAAAGTGTGCACGGTACAAAAACTCAAAGTGCTCAAGTATATGTATGTCTAATCTCAGCAGTGGACATTTATAGGCTGTTGATGATGATGATGATGATGATGATGTATATCTTAGTTCCTAACTTTTATTCTCTTAGGTCTTCTACAAATCATCTTCATCATCGGCCAGTCCACAGCTGGATCTTCTCAACAAAAAACAGATATGACGCATGGCATCACGGGTTCTTACTCAGTCTGATTATTTTAATAGATCTTCAAACGTATGCCAAGTCCGGAACCAATAAGTTCCTATTCCATTTCATTTCGACTACATAATTATGGTCCGTTACATTGTTAATACGACAAAATGTAAATCTAAATATCTAGACAATCGTTCGGACCACCCACGAACATAAGACATAAATATCTACATAGTAAATCCGTCACAAGACAAAGCTAAATGAGAAACATTGTCGATCATGATAACGCGTGACCGCCCGCGCGTTCCTCTTGCTGACAACACTGAATTGAATAATTCTGCTTACCTACTGCACAATGAACCCACTTAAATACTGATTTGTTCTCAACATGAAATAGCAACGACTTGACAGTGCCCATCAGCTTTAAGTATACAGTCAGCCAAGTAATTTGGTAGGTATGCAGATAAGAAAATATTGATTGATTCAGTATATGGCCAATAATATTTAACTAAAGGTTCTTAACGAAATCATACATCATATACATGTCGCGGAGAACCTAATGGGTAACCGGGGCTCTGGCTCGACATGCAGGAGAAGGAACGGGGTGTTTTTTAGTCAGTAAGAGTCTGACACTCCCTCCCGCCTCACCCAGGCGGGAGCAGTCATTCGATGATTTTCCCGCCTTAAAAAAAAGACATCATATACATACACTATCTGTATTATGTCATCATCACTCCCTTACGCATGTCTATTGTCTAAGAAGAAGGAGAAGAAGAAGAAAACGAATAAGGTAAAATATTACTTTACAAATCAAGATATTCACTACAAGCAGATGGTTAATTTTAAATAGTTTTCTCGTACTTGACCTTACCCCTAATAGATAACTTCTTGTTATTTTAATAGTAACTGGAAATGCCGATTGTGTAGTCTTAGCATTCTTAGATTCGTGCCCTAGTTTAACAAATTAGTTATAAAACATATTACGAAATAGATTCAGTAATTGCAATACTGAAATCTTTCCCAAAGTTTGAATTGAACCTATTTGAACCTAATTGAACCTACCGAAAATTCCGAAATGCTGAAAAAACCCTAACAGTACCTACTTTATATTGACCCGGAAGATCGAACTAAGTACCTAGTCACACTTAAGACCTCACGACGAGTTTAACAGAAAAAAGAACAATTTATTTACGCAGTGACATACAAAAATACATTATGATATGAAAAATTTAACAACGTCGTGGTCACGGCGCAAAATGACCAGCGTCAGCTTATTGCTGTAGCACAAGCCCGAAGGTTCGAGTCCACGAGCCGAACAGCTTCATTATAGCTAGGCAGGTGCAATAAAATCATCATAAGCATGTCGCATGTTGAGTAGTTCACAAGTACAAACTACAAACAACGCCACATGATGAGCTAAGGTCAGCGGGATTATCGTTCATCGACAAATATAAACATCTAGACTTAGTTACCGATAGAGATTCTTTGAATTTACATGTCATAGGAAAATAAATACAATTCTGCATAATTAGAGTCACGTGTTTCAATCCCAACTGGGGTCCTTCAGATTTCAGCGATCAGGGTTATAAAAAGAAAACGAATTGTACACAAACAGCCGCTTCTCTTGCGGCAGGTGCTGTAAGAGCCGTCCAAGGACCTGATATTTGATGGAAACCGAATAGCTGCTCTCTTTAATATACCTGAACTTTTTTGGTCTTTGAATAATATGCGTGGAGACTGTGGCAATACCCTTTAATGTAGAGGAAGCCCGTGTTGTCATGGGCAGATGGGCTGTGTGATACCAAAAATCACCACAAAAATTGATAATTTTCAATCTACGTTTAAAAAAAAATATTTGGCCTCCTTTTTAGATGACAAAATCGATTCAGCCATTCGCGAGATAATCGCGGACAACATACAAACATACATACACACAAGTCAAATTGAGAACCTCCTTCTTTTTTAAGTCGGTTAAAATGGTCCTTCGCGAATCGATGCCCTTAAGAATATGTCAGCGCGCTCATCAAGCGAATGTTCACAAGAAACGGCCATGGCTAATGGCTACATGACATGAGCCTGACTTTATACTAATAAGACAATTAATAGACACATCACTTGTCCAGACAAATACTTAAATTAATAGCAATTTGAATAAACAAGTCGCCTCTACGAAACGTTGATTTTAATTCAGAAAATTCTATATTTAGGATTGAACAAACTGCTCTTTTAAACCTAATTAATAACTGAATATGTCGTGGTGGTCCTGAAGTTTAAGACGCCCGTTTCTCATGCACGAAGGTGTGGTTTCGAAACCTACCAACGGCAAGTACCAATGTGACTTTTTTCGAGTTATATGTATACTTTCTAAGCGTATTCAGACACCACTAACAAACGGTGAAGGAAACATCGTGAGGAGACCTGGACTTATAATTTTTAATTATAAGATTGAAATTGCCAACCCGCTTGAGCGAGCGCGGTGATTAATGCTCAAACCTTCTCGGTGTGAGAAGAGGCCTTTTGTCAATTTAATTTTAATTTTATATCGACAATCCATAACCAGCTTAGATAAACTTAGGAAAGCAGGTCTCAGAGATGCATCTAGACAATAATCACGTGATTTATCTAATCATCTCGATCTTAGGACCTACTCAGTTGATTCTATCTTCATCCCAGCCTATTAGTGTGAATTAGGTCATTCGCAGACACACTGCACGTGGTTGTTAATTATTAAGTAGGTACTCAGTTAATCGATCTGCCCTATCTACTAATTCTAAAGTACCTAGGTGTAAACCTGTAAACTGCAGTAATTTTGTGTGATTTTCATCTAAATCACTGAACCCATGTTGATAGATTTTGTTACTCAGATAGATTGATAAATTGATATATATATTTTCACGAAACAATCATAAATTTTACGAAGATAAAAATTGAAACTTTTAGTACTTAAGTAGGTGATGAAATAATTCTAGGGCTCTCAAAACCTAACAAATAAATGAGATAACAAAAGAATATTTAATACTAAACTCAACAGAACAGCCTTCAACATTCTTTTGTACATAACAGTGAAGTAAAAACTCCTAAACCTGAACTTAAATCTAATAAAAAAGTAACGCTCGCTATAAAAAGAATCTGGTCCTAAGCGCTTACTAAGGACCACAAAATAGCAAAACATAACCTCAAAAACCGAGTTATAAAATGTTATTAAAATACAGAATACACTAATTTACACTATTCCCGTTTCGTTGTAAATCCGTGGCAGCGAGATAGCAGTGTTTTAATGAAATATTTAATAATTCTCAGCCTTCATACGAATCCCCAGCGAAATCTACTGCAATGTTAAACAACGTAGTTTACGTCAAAGTAACTACATTTTCGCGGTATGTAAGTAGACAGAATTTGTTAGATAAGTGTTGAATCTTGTTTCTCTTTTAATACAAGAATTTCTTGAGGTTTTAAAAGATTCTGGAAGGCTATTTTGTTTTGTATAAAGCCAGTGACACCGAGGTAATGCGATAAATAAATACTTAATAAAAAAAATTAAAAATGACTAAATACTCTTTTCAATATTTAGGAATGCAAAACACAAATGATAATCGTGATTGATAAAAACGATCATATTAAGAGCATACGAATATTTCTTTTATTAATTATTCTAAAGGCGTTACGTTTATGATTAATGTTTTTAAAAGAAGTTTTATTCCGCCTAATAAATAACACGATTAATAAGTTTTCACTTATATCTTTGACGAGTGTTTCATCTAATTAAAAATTGTAAGTCAAAGTCAAAGTTATTTATTGTAAACTTCAATATATCCCACTTAGAAAGAATCCTGTACAAGCAATTACTTAACGAATCAATCAAGTTTCTTAAAATAACAACATTATTAATCTTTAGCGTAAATATAAGTTTTCGTCTCAATGTCCAAAGTTTTCCCGAAAGGGTTAGGTCCACTAACGATATTGTTTCATCAATCATAATAAAAACGAAACAAAACCCATCCAATACATTCCGAGTTTTGTCTGATATCTTTCTAGGACAGACAGGCAGGTTCTGTTCCATTTTATAAACTTAAGTAACACACAAGTACTTAATTATATTATGCTTAGATCATAAAGCAAAATATAAAAACTTATAGTTTTCTATCGTTTAGTCTTCTATAGTCAATCGAACCTATGAACCCTGTTAAGAAACACTTTTAAATGATTAATTTCCTTTGTTTCTTCTGTTCCATCTAGAGTTTCGTTTTCATACACGATTTATACACCATATTAAATACTTTTAGGATTTTTGTCAAAATTACGCTCCGCTTACTTACCTACTTTAAAATTTAAATTATACTCTGCTTGAAATAAAATCGAAATCATCGCCTTACTTCCATTAATGTAAGTAGTAATTAGTTAAAATGTCTACTACGTTATAATCCATCTATTATTTTCAATAACTATCCAAAAAAACGGGGAATCTAAGCATGCCTACCAATTACCACATGAGTCACTATGAGTCATCAGTGATCTTTAAAAACTATAGTATAAGTAATAGATTACCCATCATTTAAGAACAATTTTGCCTGTTCTAGTTCCAAGAATAGATCATTTTTTACACTGAAGTTCATTAGAACGAAGAGTTCCTCTGTTAGTACCTTTTAGTTTAACAGTCGTTACCAGTATTCTTTATGGGATAAGCCAGTAAACCAGCTGACGGATCATCTAATGATAAGCAATCTACGTTGCCCATGGACACTCACTTTTTGTTGGCTACAGGCTAAGAGTAGAGTTATTTAATTCTTCTTTCAGGAATATATAGTTCTTTCAGAACCTTAAATTTCATCTGAAGAAATTATGGGATAGAAAGTAGTCTCTGTTCTCGTTTTTACTTTCTAAACAAGTCCAACAATGTCGGAGCTTGTTTAACACGAACATACAAATAATGAAATGTTTACTCTGTGTATTAGGCATTTATTAAGTAAGCACAGTACATTTAGCCGGTGACACTGGTAGTCACACAAAGTTAATAACATTAATTGACCGATTATCATTAATTGTATAGCCAACAATTAACAGCATATTGGATTACTTAAAGATTAACAATATTGGTCAGTTTTTTTCGGTTTTGCTCTAAAATATAAAGAGGCAGTAGGTGAACACGGTGCTATAGAAAAATAATCAATTAAAAAATCTTAATACCCTTCCTTCAGTCGAGTAAAAAGTTACGACGTTCTTGGTCCTTCGTACCGTTCCTTTGCTTATACAGAATAACCAAAGGACCAAATTAAGACATATTTCAAAATATTTATAAATGTATAAAAACGTTGATTTATTTTTGGTTTTATTTCAGCCTTGGATAAAAAGGTCTTATTCATTTTTTTTTATATAAATAACATTGTTATCTTTTTGACGTAACACTTTTGTTTTGAAACAACGCAAATATATGTGTTTTCTTTTATTTTGTATCTATTTTATTTTAGTTACTCTAAAACGAATTACGATGATTAGGTACTGAACAAAGTAATGACTTATTTTTAACAAGAAAAAGGACCAAAACATGAATATCTATAAATAAAATTCAATAAAACGATCGTCTGTTAAACGTTCTGAGAAGCAGTTAAGTATTGATGTGTTATAATTGTCTGCTGTTTAAGCGTTAACTGACAGATTAGTGGAAATATGAACCGTTTACGATCCAAAGTTACTATGGGTTCATGTGACCGGGTTATCCACGTCTGACGTCTGCGATAAAGTTTCGTAAGTTTTTTTTCTTTGTAAATGCTGATTAGACAATGAAGTAAGTAGCTACTAACCGAATTTTCCTTAGCATAGCATCTTCTATGCAGGTCATAATGCCCCTAGGGTTTGTAATAGGATGAAGTTTGATAAAGAAGATCGGAATGAGAAGTTTTTCTTTTTTTGAGGGGATAATTATTAAATGGATCCTCTTGCCCTAGGTGTGTGAGACTCTTACTGACTAAAATCCACCCTGCTCCGACCCGAGACGCGAAATAAAGATTTAGTATAGTAAGAAACTTGAGACCAGAAGATAATGACGATAGTTTTTGGGTCTGGAGGTAAAGATGTAAATTTATTTATAAAAACTTTTATATGCTTTGTTAAGATTTGTAATATTTCGTTGACTTAATAACAATAATAATAAATCATTTATTTCAGACTAGTTGGTCCATATTAGACTTATAAACTATATTAGTGAAATATAAAGGACTAAATATAAATTAAAGGACCCGGTTCGATGAAAAATCATGGAATGTTTTTAGCTGTTAAATTTTTCAATAACAGGACAATCTAGACATGAAATAATAACGTAACTAGTTAAATATATGACGTATTTTTTTTTTAAGGGGGGAAAATCATCGAATGATTGCTCCCGCCTGGGTGAGGCGGAAGGGAGTGTCAGACTCTTACTGACTAAAAACCACCCCGTTCCTTCTCCTGCACGTCGAGCCGGAGCCCCGGTTACCCGTTAGGTTCTCCGCGACAAATATATGACGTATATATTAACTACAAATATATTGAAAAACGTAGGTAACATTTTTAATATGCGGAAAACCAGTGTGATGGATTATTTCATCATCAGCCAAAATTACCAATAATATAATTGACATGTTATTTGTATTAGAATAACTTATTATCACAGTTTGTCCCATCGGGTATTCAAACCGGTAATTTATTTACGTAAACTCTCATAGCCAACCAAATAATTAAAATGACAAACAAATCGCCATAAACTGATAAAAATAACAAATCTATGTTTTTTATTTTACGGCATAAGACAGTAAACGAGCAGACGGATCACCTGATGGTAAGCAATCGGCGTCGCCCATGGACACCTGGAACACCGGAGGCGTTACAAGTGCGTTACCGGCGTTTTGGGAATTAGGAGTTTGAGGATCGTTGGGAATTCAGGGATTGGGGAGATTGGGGAAGGGGAGGGTAATTGGGCCTCCGGTAACCTCACTCACACGAGGAAACACAACGCAAGCGTTGCTTCACGTCGGTTTTCTGTGAGGCAGTGGTATCACTCCGGTCGAGCCGGCCTATTCGTACCAAAGCATGGCTCTCCCACACTTGTATGTAACCAACGTTTTCAATAACAAAATACTTTAATACTTAATCTAAAATGAACCTCAGTTGTTTATCTAAACCTAGATCTAGCAAAACTTAGGTTCAGTTAAGTTCAACTAAGTTCTGCATTAGTTATTGGACAGCTTCTAACTTTCGTTAAATGAAACTGACGGCGGTTTAACCCTATTTTGAGAAATGTTTCGTTTTTAATCCATTCCATTTACAATATTATCTTATTGAGATATTTTGAAAACTATATACTTTAATAGTAATAAGGTTTTATATGCATACACAATAGTTGTAACATGATTTCTATTATTATAAGCGAGGATTGAAATATTTCTTATTTTAAACTATTTTCTTAGAGAAAATATAGTTAATTACACAAGGTATACTTAATTAAGATTATTTAGATAATAATCTAAATATAAATGTGTTATTTTCTCCCCTAAATACTCGCAAAAACATATATCGACAGTTAGTTAGTTACATTCGATTTTTTTAATTCTTCTTTAACTTTATATTTTTTCTAAGGAATAGTTTCGTGTTTCTTTATTCGGTTTCAAATAACTTAAAGTTGGCTAAATAAATAAAATTATCCTACGTTAAACACTAATTTCGCATTACAATTTAAATATAGGAAGTAAACTAGAATAAATTCGCGTCACATATTAATAAAACAAATATTTAAACAATTGGCAACTATTTGAATACTTACCGCGAACTCCCGGCGAACATAAGCACAACACAATACAACACACGATGGAAAAAGTCTTCATGTTTAATTAAATTTTCAAAAATCACACTTGAAATTAGACGTGTAATATTTTCACTATTTTTAAATTGTAGTTTTGTTGTAACATAGTTTGTAGGTTTTAGTATCTTTTAGTATTTTTGATGGAGAGCGTGTATTCCGCGCTATGCCGGCACCGTCTTGGTTTGTAATGGAGGGCGAGCGGGGTCACAGTATATGATAAGATTCGCGCATGACACGACTGTCCAGTGCAGATCACAGTTCAACGAAGAAAACTTTTGAAAACAGATTTTTTGTAGATAGTATTTTTAGTGAATTATAATTATTTCCGTTTGTTTATCGACAAAAAAAAGCAGAGAGACCGTGGATCATAATTTTTAAAATTACCAATTCTTTTTTCAAAAAAAATATGTGTAATTCTGACTATTAGGTAATCCGCAAAGCTATAGATATAAATCTAGATTAAAAATATATTTCACCGTTTTTTTTTATTTTTTATTATTTAATTTACGTACGAGCGTCACTGACAACTCATAAATTGAAATTGGAACGAAAAATAAAATTTTGCCTGATCGATGAACCTCAATTCACTTTCCACGACTTTCCTTATAACGACCAGATGGCACATTAATTACTTTTAACGTTAAATATACCTATAATATATTTTTTATTTTAAGAAGTCTTGTATTAAAATGTTTATAATATTTTTTTACTTCTAATGTAAATTTAAGCGGTTTTGATATTTCTTTTTTCACTATTATTTAGCATGGAGTCTAGAATTGTGTCTGATGTGTGACAATAAGCTCAGACTTCCAATTGGGTACATTCCTTAATAAAAAAAAGGACGACTGTTCAATACAATAAAATATTAAAAAATAAACACAATTACATTAATTAATTTTATGATCAACTTAATTTTAGTTTTTTTCCAGCAACTTCTTAAGAAATAAGTATGCTGTTTGACGCTAAAAAAACGTGACGTCACAATACACCATTCAAAATCGTACAAAATTCATAGTAAACTCGTTTTTGATAGTTCGTAAAAAGTATTGAATTTGACTAGTTGGTTTAAATCGAACCCTATTGTAATCGACCTCATAATGTAACTAGCGAAAAATTGTGTTACATCATGTATAGGTAAGTACCTACATCATACACTTTATTCTAGGGGATCAATGCACTAAAAATCCCCGTGAAGAGTAACCTATCGACTCTGTGTATAGAGTAATGGATTTAATGAGAAATCATAGGTTTTTTTTAAGGGGAGAAAATTATCGAATGGCTTCTCCCGCCTGGGTGAGGCGCGAGGGAGTGACAGACTCTTACTGGCTAAAAACCACCAGTTCCTACTCCTGCACGAGCCGGATCCCTGGCAACCCGTAAAGTATTAGATGGTGAAATATTAAAATAAAATCTGTGCGTCAAGTTCTCCTCGGCATCGAATCGGCATCAGCCCCATTAGGCCCCATTTTGTGGTGTTCTGATGACTCTTTGAGGCGTGCGCAGAAATCCCAGATATATATCTTTTTGCACATTTATCTGTTAACTTCAGCTGTCTTTAATTACAAAGTTATAAGGAACATAGTATTAATAGCTCATCCTGACTTTACCCCGACTTTCCCGGCGAATTCATCAATTTTATTTAAACTTTGCCCGATACTGAAGAACAAATATCAAAATGGGTTTAATACTCAAACTTGGTTTCTTCTAAAGGTGCATGCGGTCATACATTGAAGATTTTAATTTACAAGGGCTCTGCATACCTACGTTCAGTTGACTTTTCTCGATTTAGATAACTACTATTTACTGAATTTGGTGCTATAAATCTATTAACTAAGTAGATCTAGATATTACTGATTCTGATTTAAGAATTTTATTTCTCACTAGCTTCTGCGAACAAAGTCGCACTTTGTTCGCACAATCCTGTTTCTCCCATTCCCGCAGGATTTTCAGGACTTTTTTCTGTCATAAGAACCTTCTCCTGACGACCTCTCAAGTTATAGCGTCACAACGGGAAACGTTTCATTTTTATATATGTAGATAAAATAATACAATTCACTTAAGATATGAGAAAAGATGATAACTTAAAATTAAAATACCTACAGAGTATGAGCACGCGAGGTACCTATATTTGATTCAGAAAAAGCGAATTCCAATTTCATGTGTAGACGATTTACGTATTTTTATTTTTATTCTCTAAAGTATTTGATATTTTAGCCTGTTCTTCCAATTTCTAATTAGATGTCGCCAGAATGAGACGAAATTCTTTAGCAATAAGGAGCAATAAAAGCACCTCAACACACATAGTTAAATTTTAACAAGGCACCAATTAGAGTCTTACTAATTACCATCAAAGTGTGCGCAGACACGATTGTGTTTTAAAACACACAACACAACACAATACTGTGTACTTTTATACACAGTGTATAATACAGGAGCGTGCAACCTGCACTAATTAAAAGCAATGAGTTTACCTCGTATTTAGGGAGTTGTGTTCTTAATTGTGTTTATTTTATAACTTGTGTAACCACGGCTGGAAGCTTATAGTTTTAAGTGCCTTTTGGTTGATAATCATAATATTTCAATAAATGGTAGGTAGAGCGATATTTACGTTCGCTTTTTAATGTTACCAGTAAACCAATCAGAAGCAAGCATTAAAACAAATTGCCAAACTGTATGCTTTTACTGAAAATTTCTATAATAAGTGGCATTAAGTGCCGTAATGTTCACCTCTGCCACCACCAAGCCGTCACCACCCTTCGGGGATAAGAGGCGTGGTGTTATATTTTATGCTATAATCAACATTCTCAATAATACCAAATAACAATAACTTTGTCTGTCTCAGTAGTCGAACCCGGAGATCTCATACTCAGCAGTTACAACCACTCAACCAGATTATTCATAACAAAATTTTCAATTTCAACATGAGGCCCACCTACCCACTTTATGTACAGATTCATAAACGTAATACCATAAAAGAAAGTTCAAATTTCATATTAAATAACGATCAATTAAAAATCAATTCACAAACTCACAATTAGCGTAATGTACCAAACACACACGAAAACGTGCGCGCGCGCATCAAGCCGTTGGAAATTGGGCACGGTCAATGGGTCAAGTGCGAGCGATAAGGTTGTTACCCAATCATATATTTAGGAGATCTTATTTATATGACATATATGAGTTAATTAAAAATAAATGTACTTAGTATACACATATTTCATAATTATTTGTGTCTTTGATAAAATGAAACATTGATAGTGGTTTAATAGGTATCATCTATCCATGACCTATAATGAGTAAGAGAGCATCATTTTCCGTATCTATTTTCCCGGACATGACTAAGTAGTATGAATAATGGGTCTATAAAATCTATATACCTATTCCTATATTTGCTATTTTTTTAGGCGAAAATGTCGTCTAATGTCTTCTCCCGCCTTTAATGAGGTGATCTATCTCTAGAGAGAGAGTGTCAGACTCTTACTGACTAAGAAACACCCCGTACCTACTCCTGCTAGAGATAGCGTTTTGATGTCAACCCCTTTCAAAATATGTTTAAATTCTGTCTACATTACAGATGGAGACCGTTTAAAAGGTACAAGTTTGTCAAAAAGCGCTGCTACACGGTTTTAGTTAAATGACAGCAGAGGGAGTACTAGTCCCTTAGTCGAGCTTATGACACCCGTTGGAGAAAAAGTGGTGACAATAAATACTCTACTGTCGAGGCTAACCCATTGGTCAAAACCTTACTTCATCTTAATGTTAATGATTTAATTTTTTTTTAATTTTGCCGTACACTAAGATTTTCTCTTGTGTCCTGGGTGCGTTTACAAACACTCAAGTTCCGAAACAATAATCTGTGGATTGTGCCAACCCGCATTGAGCAAGCGTGGTGATTACTTAATGCTCTAACCTTCTCCGTGTGAGAAGAGGCTTTGCTCAGCAGTGGGCATTTATAGGCCGTTGATGAATCTGTGGATCACACAAAGAGTTCCTCCGTGTGGGAATAGAACCCGCGACACGTTGCAAGTTGCGGCCCAGCCACCGCAACAACTGTGCAGTCAAATCAATGATCGATGACGAACGATAATGATGTTAAAACCGAATGACGAATATTTATCAGAAATAAACAAAAAAGGACACTTTTCTCTTCAAAAAATCTTGTGAAGTAAATGACCTAACTCTCATCTGATGTCTCGTAATACACAAAAGCTGTGACTCAATAAATATTACGTCCTATACGACTACACATCGATCTATACAGTACCAGGTTGTCATGGTCCCGATTCGTATGATCTTCCCTCATATCCGACGGTCAGTTTATACTGGTGTTCAATAGCTTTATGTGTCGTGCCATCATCACGTCACATTAAGAGCCCAAGGTCAATGAATCACCAAAACACTCGGAAACTACAAATGAAATGAAGTACCAGGAATCGAACACGTAATATTGGTAAGTGCGTATATAACATAAGTGGTTGGTTAAAAGATATGTATCATCTATAATGTGTTACAAAAACTTAATAACCGATATGATACAATTATGTTACAATGATGTCATTATTGTTGGCCTTGTTGGCCGAGTGGTGTGCAACTGCCGAACAAGGGGTCTCGGGTTCGATTCCAAAGTATTACTGTGTTTTTTTTAAATCTCAGTAATACCACGGAGTCTGGAAATGTACCCGGTATATGGCAATAGGCTCACCCCCTATTACATGGGACTCATAACATAAATAGTGAAAATTGGGTGTTACATTGTACAGTGGCATTAAGTACCGTAATGTGCACATCTGCCTACCCCTTCGGGGATAAAAGGCGTGATGTTTTGATGTTAATATAATGTCATAATTTTCCAAGGATTTTATTGTACTCCGTCCATAGTTTTCGGTAAGTGATGTTTAGATGTTAGTAGCTGCCTCTTTGCCGGACCTAAGAATTGAATCCTAAATCCCTTGCTCGGTAGACGCAGTTGTGACTAGATAACCAATAACATAGGGTTTTTTGAAGACCATTTCTCAGTGTAAG